TCAGAATTGAGCATAAAATACTCGAGTCATCTAAAAAGAAAGATCATTCTTAAGTAAACATTGTAGAATTAAAAACAGAGATATTGAATTATGTAGAGAAGAATATCCGTTTCTATTTCTAAGGAAATATCGAAATAGAAAATAAATCAGTTGGAAATATACATATGTACAGTGTGCAACGAAAGTATTCGAACGGCATGATAGAAAATAATTGATTATACAAAAATTTGTACAATAAATTGCAATTTATTGAAACAAATTGTTTTTATACTATTTTATATACATTTGTTAAACGTATACCAAGTTAGAGAAAAATTAAACCATAAGTAAACAACATTTTTCACGGATAAGTACATATAAGGCATAACAAAAGTATTCGAACGTAATTTTATTAGTCATGATAGAATTCAATATATGTGATTATATTGTATTTTAATATCTAGTTGGGCTTTAATAACCTCTCGAAGACGATTTCTTATACTATTGACTAACTTTTTGGTAACACTTGAATCCATAGAGTGCCACGCTGCTAGGATATTTTGTTTCAAAGAATCTTTACTCGTTATATTATTTCTTTTAAATCTCCTATCGAGTTCTTCCCGTAAATGTTCGATGGGATTTAAGTCAGGGCTCTGTGGTGGGATAATGTATGGGGTACATTATCTAAGATCCATTCTTGTACTATTTTGGCCGTATGTTTAGGTCCTGCGGGGAAGCAAAAATTTCTTGACACATTTAATTTTTCGGCACTATTGATTAAATTTTCTTTTAAAATATTTAAATATTTAATTTTGTTCATGATTCCATCGATGAATACGAGATTTCCAGGCCCATTAGCGGACATGCAATCCCATGCCATTACAGAGCCTCCACCATGTTTCACCGTAGACTTCAAATTTTTTGAATCCAACTCCTTATTTGGCTTTCTCCATACTATGCCCTTACCATCGGACCCAAATAAATTGAATTTACTTTCATCCGAAAAAATAATAGTGTTCCAAAAATTTTTTTTTTGTCCTTATTTAGATACTCTTTGGCAAGTTTTAAACGAAGTAATTTATTTCTTCTTGCTAATGTATGGTTTCTCTCTACCATGGAAATTGTTTTTCCATAACATTCTTCGACATAATTGGGCGTGTACTTCTTTATTAAAGTTTGTAACAAAATTGTTGCCAATTTTGGAAACGGATCTTTCTTTATTTCACGCAGAAGTAATTTTTCCTCCCGTGGTGTTAATTTTTTTGAACGCCCAGATCTTGTTCATTTGCAATATTTTCGTTCATATTATACATTTTTATCATATAATGAATTGTTGATTTGCTTCTGCTTACAAGAGAAGCAATTTCTTTATATGATTTACCTTTTTTGTGCAATTTAACAACAATTTCTCGTTTGGATTTACTTGTCTCTAATGTTGTACCACTCGTTATTTTGAATTATAGGTCAACGTCTAACTTTTGGTTCCGTTTGCTCTCAAATATTATTGGAAATACATTGAAGATCTTTTGTTTACATTTAGACCATACGACAGTCTTGTGTTTACAATGTATAGTGTTTATAATTCAGCGTTCGAATACATTTGTTATGCATACAAGTGTTATGTAATTTGTTTACTTGTTGTTTAATTTTTCTCTAACTTTGCATATATTTAGCAAATGTATATACAATAGTATAAAAACAATGTTTGTTTGAATAAATTGCAATTTATTATACAATTTTTGTATAATCAATTATTTTCTATCATGCCGTTCGAATACTTTCGTTGCTCACTGTATATATTTAGAGCAATTAAAGATATTATTTAAATATCTATTTCGCTATTTAAATATTTATATAATTGTTTAAAAATTTCATGATTTTGTTACTCGGGATATATGTAGGTATATGTGTTGGTTTATTAATTTAAAAAATATTTATTAAAAAAAAAGATTTATTAATCTCAATAAAAATAAAGTAATAAAATAAAATTTATGATAAATAAATAACATAGGGTAATATTCAACACATTTAGAATCTTCAAAATTCTATTTATCTATAATCTCTCATGTATAATAATCAGAGAGACAGAGAGTTATGTATAAAATTTCTTGAAACATTTTTTTTCGTGAAATTTTTTTTTTGTAGTTAAGTTGTAAGTTTCATAAATACTGTACCGAATATATGATCATGATTGGAAGGAGAAGACTACCAAAATATCATAAATACAAATATATGATACATTGAAAAATGATTAGATAATTTAGCAATATAAATTTATTCTTACGGTTATAGAATTTATAAAATTTAGGTAAATGAAATAACAAAAAAGGATATCTAATAATAAATGAAATAAAATATAAAATAACAATAAAATAACAATAAAAGAAGATATCAAATATTTGTAGATATCTTGAAAATAAAAATTTTCTTGTACTAACTGATAGACTATGAACATTCCATAAATTGCAAATCCATAATTATAAAACAAAACATAACTGAAAAAGTTATGAAATCACATAAAATTCAAACAACGTCGTCATATTAAGAAATTACACTTTTCCAATTCTAGAATCATCAAAAAATATAGTCTAAATTAGTGTTAAAACGAACAATATGCGCCTATTCTTTCCGCAATTGACGTAGAATCGTTATTGCATGCATTGACATCTCCATTATCTTCCATCCTCGATCACCAAATACCGTCGAGAAACCGCAATTCGTTACGAACGAAATCATTTCTCTTTTACATTAAAGTATGAGCGGATCGCGTAACTAAAGAATAATAATGCGATTGTTACAATCAGAAAATGCAGTTGATGAAGAAGAATCAAGATTCACAACAGCGGAGATAAGGGAATTAACATTTGCATTGAAAATGACATTCTTTGTCGTTTACTCTATTTGTAGCCTACAATTTTATATCTATCCTAACGTCGAAATTTAATAACTATTAACATTATAAGAATATTAACCAATTAACGCACACTTTCACAAAACTGTTTTTAAACTATCTTGTGAAAATACATTTCTGAACTAGTTCAAAACAATTCTGAAAGAATTCAAAATATTAAATTTCTCCTTAAGTACAAAATCATTATCTGTCGAAAACATGTAGTAAGTTTGTAGCAAAAACATGCATGATAGCGATAGCCATCATTTTCATCAATGTTTTACATTATCCATGTACTATGAATTATGTTAAGAGAAAGGAAAAAGATAAGAACGTTACAAAAATAAGTTTCGAATTGAAAATTAATACTAAAATACGGAAAACAGGAACAGATTTATCTTGACACTGATGCTACAGTGTCGGACTCGGAACGTTTTGAAGTCTTTCCCTTTCATCTTCACTCAAGTGCTTGTCAAAAAATTAACACATGATCATTAAACAGAATTAAATACATAAAATACATTTGTTAATCTGCAAAGAGCCGGATAAAAATTTAAAAAAATCCATTACTAGTTACAAAGCAAAGAGAACCTTCCACAAATTGTCAATTTTAAAAGATAACTACAGAACAACTATGCTCAAGAAAAAATTAAACTTTTTAATCAATCTGTCAACTAAAAATCATATAGAGATCGTTATCACACGATAAGACAATAAAACAATTTGCATGTAGGAAAGCCAAAAGGAAAAATATACCTATTGCGAAACAATCTTTATAATTATAAATTCCCTACTTTTCTATTATCTGTATTATCTCTATTATCTAATTATCTATTGGTTATATTATATATATATATACATGCAATATACCAAATTTTTCAATAAAGCCCAAATTTCACTCCAAGAGTTAAATTCGCATAAAAAATTAAAATGCAAAGAACAAGAAATAGTCTATAACAATATAAAGGATACAGGCATTTATTTCTGTTTCTTATATTTATTTATCTATATTAAAAATTATTCAAATCTCTCAAAATGCCTGTTATAAATCAATAAAATTTTTGTAAAAAATTACGAATTGATCATTCTGGTAACTTTAGCGTTAAACGAATATCATTTTAAAGCGTCAAACATGCGACGTTCGTGACGTGATTTCATCCGTGCTTCCATTTTAGAATATTTGTATGGAAATAAATTTTATAATTGTAATATTATGAAACATTAATATTTATATGAAGTAGAATTTAATTGAAATATCTGTAATTTTAACTACTCGTTTTATGGAACCATTGCCTGTCATATTTGTTTCGAACGTGACAGGAAGATTAAATGATATGAACTGATAATATAATACGCTTGACTCTACCAGCATCAAAAAGGAAAAAAATAAGATTAATTGGTTTGTAAAACGTCTACACAAACATCTACACAGATGTTAAGTAGTAGAAAATATTGTTATTTCTTTTTTTAGGGAAGTATATATATACAAATACAAATATTTTTAATATGAATGAGTTGAAATTTTTATAACTTGTTTCAATTTCAATTAATAGTTCTGTTAAAATGGAAATTAGAATTCAAAATATTATTAAAACTATTCTATATTTAAAAATGCTTCTAAGAATTAGATATAATTGCCACTTTCAATTTAGAAAATGATGTGTACCTATATAAAATTTCATTAATTTTAAACACTAGATATTGTCCAATATGAGTTACCTAATTTTCATTAGACTTTTGTATTAACATTTTTTACACAGAACGGTATTATCCATTTTCAAAACCACAAACTTTTAACTAGCCTTTGGTAAAAAATAATCGAGAAAAATATTCATCTCAAAATATTCAAAGGGAAAACAAGAACCAAGTATCTAAATTCTCTGTAAAAATAAACAACAAGCGTTCGACTTCTGTAAATATACGTAAATATGTAATCTTCCAATGTTCGAGATAAATTCAATCGAAAAGCGAAATCACAATTCTAGGGAATACTGGTATCGTTGCCACAGTATCATTTAACCGATCGAATGATTTAACACGACATGTCGATTAATCCCTGAAATCCCATTGGGAACCCTAAATTTCTGACATCGAACGTGCCGAGCAACTCCGTGTGCCGCAGTCGCCTTACCTGCGAGTCTATCCTTGAGGTGTGGGTGTCCCTGGAGCGGATGTGCAGCGAGGTTTGCCAACAAGCTTGCCCTGTGAAGACCGGCCGCCGCCGCTTGTTGTTGACTGTGCTGAAGAGCTTGTAAACTCCAAGGTGGTATCAACGCCTGTGTCGGCAGAGCACCCGTTGCTGTCCCATTAGCACCATGTGGCCGATGGGCAGGAACTCTTATTACGCTTCCGCCGGTGTATATCAGACCGGATCCGGTTGGGAAAAGTCTGAACGGCGCCAACAGATCTGTCGCGCTCGTACAGTGCACCGACGATGTTGAATTCATCTGTGCCTCCGGCGTGCTACCGGTATCGTCGTCGTCCTTTTCCGATAATTTTTCTTCAATCTCGTGACCCCAGGATCTCCTACCATCGTCCAAAGTCATCGAGGAGCCTCCGTTGTTATTACCTTCCTCCCACGACCATTTTCTCTCCTTATCGCTATCTGGATCTTCCAACGAAGGACTTTTTGGATTTTGCGGCCGATTTTCACCTAAAAGACGACTTATACTGAACGGGTGGCTCCTGGGTGACTCGTTTTGCAATGTTCTCGAGCTGGTTTGACTCGGCGGTGGAGAATTTGAACATTCGGAATGCTCGAGCCGACGGTTGTCGGTGACGTAATTACGTGGACTGCAACTTCCGGAATCGGAGTCGTCCACGTTGATCTCCTCCGTCGCGTCTACGTCGCTGTCACCGTGAACCGACATGATCACTTCAGTTGTATCGATGACAATCCTCAGTTAGATCGTTCAGAACTTTGAAAACCAATCGTTTACCGGAAGTCGCTTGGAATATTCATCCTGCACCGCCGTCGGTATTATTTATACTCGGTATTAAGTTGCTACTTTAGATATAAAGTTTCTGATACAATTCGATATTTGTCGTCTTGCACTTGAGTCGTTAAACGAATATTTATAAAGCTTTCACTTGTACAATTTAAACTTGTAAAACAAATAACTTTGATGCACTTTCATCCAACGTTCGGACTAACGTGTATTCCAATTTGCTTAACGGCCATGTTGTTTCAATGGGAAACTTAAATAAACCGAGTAGTCGCTAATTATTACTTATAAACCTCATTCGTAGGACACTATCGATATCTAACTGTTTTATTCACGGTTAGTTAGCTGGACACAAGATCACATTGATAGCTAGTGACACTCTGTGACACTTTTCGCTATTGTTCGTTTCACTGCCTGTTCACTACCTCGGTAGTAAAAACCAAATATACATATACGACAATATATGTCGACCGTTTATAAAAGCAAAAGCGAATGAGCAAAGGATCATGGGATTGATCCCACTGAGACAAATATTCTCACAATAACCCGAATCTTCGATCTTTTTGGTACCGTTCGTCCATCAGAAATCACGCGGTAGACAGGTTACAGATGGAGAAACGAAAGGACAAGAGACGGGTCATCGATCGTTAGATTTAAGGGGGAAAAAGAATGAACAGAAGCACAAAGGTACACTCGGACGGAAGCAGAAATATGAAGAGCAGCCTCACGTGGTGCTCGAATGGGCTGTGTTTTCCGTACACGGAACTCGGCCCGGTGAGTTGGGTCGTGAATCCAGGTCGCTCGCGACGAGAGAGACGGGACGTTGTGAAGGAACCAGAGAAACCAGATGATTCATCCCTACCACCGTTCTGCGACGACTCCAGCCACGACTCCGCGTCCCGACCTGCGGTATCGCCTACCATGACGCCGTGGTCCAATCGTCTTCCACTTGGCCCCGCCTATCTGTTCGCCGATTGGACAACGTTAAATTGATACCTATTTAACATTTGAGCAGAATGTTGCAGGCGATCGCCTTTTTCTCCTATATTATTTATTGCTCGATCGTCGTGCCTCCTTTTTTCTCTTCTATCCCCGATTCCTCCTCGTTTCTTCCTCCCTCTTCGACATAGGGCTCCGATGCGCGTTTCTTCTCCTTCGTTCTTCTTCCTCTTTCCTTCACTTTCTCGCCTTTTCTTCCAACGTGCACCACCACACCACCACACCACCACACCGCCGCGTTTCTCGTCTCGCCGCTGCGAAAACGTGCCGCACAACGTTCAAAAAGCTGAGGGACTTAATTACGATGAATATCCTTTTGTTCCCCTCCATATTTTCCCCTCGCCGCCTCTTTCACTCACTCTTCCTTTCTCGTTTCCCTTCTCTCTTCCTTCGTTCCTCCATCCTTCTCTACCGAACGATCCCTTCTTGTCCTCGCTTCTCGTACTCTTGCAATCTTTCTCCTTCATCTTCTCCTCGCGGCCACGAGTTTTATCGCGTTATTGCGATGAAGTTTGCCCCGTGTTGCGCAGCTAGATACGGGCAGCTCGCTGAATGTAGCCTAAAGCATTAGAGCAAAAGGCCAGTCAGCCACGCCAATTCTCCCCTCTGCCTTCTGCATAGAATAGCGAGTAGACAGCCGATGCTGAGACTCGGTTTCAACTTATTTTCGCCTGTCTTTTTCTTCAATCAGAAAAAGTACTGGCTATTTGCACGTTTCTCCAGTTTATTCAACGATCTGTTCGATGAGAGTCAATGACGTTGAGGATACATTTCAGATAGATAAAAGAAGATTTTTAAAAGAATCATGATCGTTGTGTGTGTGTAAAGAGAGACTAGATGAAAATGATATTACATACTATACTATGAAAATACTTCTTAAAAGATATTTTAATTCATATCCGTACCTACACACTGTGTTTCTTACTTGTTCTGTAAGTAAATATATAGTTGTTATTAGATTTCTGTTGCTAATAAAATAGAAATAATCGATAAAGTTAAACAAAATGACACTTTTATCAAATTCTTGACATTTTTCGAATCTATTTTATATGACCAATGTGACAAAGAGTCTTTATTATTCGTTTTAACAAATTTAACAAAATTTTTGTGCACCACGAACAATTTATGTGAGACATAAATCAGTCAAATGATAAAGATGAAATCACCCTAATACTGAATAGAAAACCAAATAGGAAAAGAAATGATATAATAAGATACAATGAAAAAGAAAGAATAATGATTAATATATGAATCAAAATGAAAATATTTTTCTATAATAGTGATAAAAATTATATAAAATAAACTTAAATAGAAAAAATTTAATTGTTTGGACAATCGAATTTTACTTAAATTTCTAAATAATTTTTAAACATTATTTTTGAAAAAAACCGATCGATTAATAGCAAGTAAGAAAGAACTTTGTTCGTTAATTTCTACAACTTGACGAGTGTAGGTATTCGTGTTTTGTGTAGTCATACGACGTACAGCCACCGCCTTATAGTATACGAGCCAATTTAAAATGGTGACCGTCTACAAATTTGCCTTGCTATTTTCCTTGTTTTATCGAGCAACTTTATCACTTTGTTTGAGTTAAAGCGTGGCCTTTGTAGTGTGTACTTTGATTGCATCTTCAATAAACGCGTGGAAAATTAAAAACCTAATGAAATAATACAACAAGGCCATCTAAGAAATCAATAAATAATAAAAAAAATTTTCAAATATGAAAAGCTTTAGATGTACAAATAATCTGTTATTTTAAATGCAATTTCGTTTTAAAAATTTAATTGATATAATACGTAGACGTTTTTGATACACATATTTACATATTTTGTAAATTTTATTATATTATATTTATTTAAGTACTACTTAGATAAACATTTAATCTGAGAACAATAAAAGAATAAAAAAATGAATATTAAATTTGACAAGAAACCGCGACCATTATATTATCTTTTTTACTTTACTAAAATAATGATATATAGGTATACAAGTAGATAGATACTTACTATATGAAATATTAAATATTAGCTATATTTTGTTTTATTAATATTAATACCTAATAATTATTAAATTACTGCCTAATCTAATATTAGTATAGTACTGCTAATTATTACCTATATATAAATAGAAATAAAAATGAAAATACCAGAATAGTTTGACATTAAATAATATATACTATAGAAATAGAAATAAAAGTACCAGAATAATATGAAATTAAATAAATATATAAAGCAATTTACAATCACAAAATCATGTTTCAGATGTAATAAATTTAAAAAAATATATACTTACTTTCATACGTAGGCAATAGGCATATTAGTCTGACATATAAAATCAAGCGAACTCTTAGTTATTTATATCATTTTCACTGAAATTCTAAGAAACTTATATAAAAAAATAATATTTAAAAAGAATATGTAAAAGTTTAATAATTATAAAAATAAATGAAGAAGATTTATTTTATTTTAATGATCAAATAGTATATTTCCACATTGAATCAACGCGTCAATAGTCAAATGATTATAGCGCATGAAGCGAATGTACCCATCGTTTCGTAAGAATATTTCGATCGACAATTCATTGGAGGATAATTCATGTTGAGTGTGCCGTTGCGTAATAAACATTGCGGTACTGGCATAACAACAAAATAATTTGCTGCACATAGTGATGAAACATCAACTTACATCTTACCTTCTCGCCTTTTACATTACCATTCTCTTTTTTATGGTCGTGGTCGCGTCATTATTATTCACGCAGTTTCAATGTACGCGTTGATATGTACTATTTAAAATATCGATCGTATAGATATTGATTTGTTGCTTATTTTGTAAATTTGTTAATTGTATGTACATAAAGTCTGTGTAAACTTGTGAAACTAGAAATTAATTAACATGGATAGAATAATTAAAAATAGTTAGGTAGCTACGTAGAAATAGTTTTGTTATTTAATTTCTAATATAGGCATATATAACTTAATTAAAGAATTAAAGCTTGTTCTATGTTGCATCTTGAATTAACGTTATTTTTATTTCGCTGTTAGTACTAAATTCCTATGTTTCGAAATAAAATTTATAACATAAATATTACCTGGTATTTAATAAATGTAATTTTTTCGTATTCTTACATTTCTTCTATCCTTTTATTACAAAATTTCTTTCTTAACTCTTGCGTTTAAATATTTAAATATCATTTATTTTCATTTTATTTGTATATGTACCTATATGGCTATATTATAAGCTATATAATGCAAATATATGGCTATATTTATTTATATATGTATCTATATGGCTATATAATAACCACATTATGGTATCATGGACTCTATAAATACTTTCCACAATTGTCCTTTTGAAATACTTAGTAATCAATTATGTAAAATTTTTCTCACAGTCAAAGAGAACGAAGCTTCGACAAAATTGTGTATTGCTTTTAGGTTCTTTTCTGAAATATGAATGTTTTATTTCTTATAGGTATTAATAATGTTATAATAATAAATGTTACGTTTATAATATTATAATAATAAAATATTGATAAAATATTTTATTATCAATTGTATAAATTCATAAATTTATTTGTGAAATTTCAAAAATTATTTGATATTATTACAATTATTCAGTTTGATTTTACAAAATAGTGTTCAAATGAACGACTCAATCAATTATTCAGAAATGGCTTTCAAATAATAATACTCTGTTCCAATAAAATTTACTCATTGTTTATTCAAAATGATATTTTATACTATTTCAATCAATGAGAAGTGAATATAAACGAATAACAGTAACAGTAAGAATAAACACTTTTCGACATCAATAAGAATCGACAAACTATAATACTTTATCCTTCACGAAATGGATATTGCCACTATAAGCATTAAAAATATCCAGAAGTAATAATTCAACCGCAACATAAACGCAACGTTTCAAAAT